AGTGCCGAATGCAACGTTTAGCACGCAGCTGTCTCAGCTTAGAAGTTTTATCATATAAAACCTACTTCAAAAGGTAAAATGGTGTAAAATAAAGTATGCGACAGCGCTGTGCTCGACGATGTATATATTCGCGTTTTTCCTATTCAAAATATTCATTATAGACCATGTTATTGATTCACCATAATTGTTTATAGTAGTCAAGTCTTTCATAAAGACAGCATTGTACAATAGTAGCCCTACTATGTAAATTGAATTACTGCTACATTAATTTATACAAAACTGTAAATAGAGCTAAGATATAATAAGATTATCAAAAAAAAGAGAATGATAGAGGGAATAAATAATTTAGAAAAAATATTTTGTGCTATTATTCCAACTTCCTATATCCTATTCACAGTGTTATTTATTTTTTATTTATTTAAAAGGTGCGGTACTCATATTCAGCATCGATATCCAGACATAATCCCGTACTACCTAGGTCTCATTGGCAAAGCCCTAAAACTGAGCGGCCCTAACCGCCAATATGAATAAAGAATATTCTTTGTACTGGCACTCACAGATGGGACTCGAACCCTCGACCTTTCGTAATCCGAGCGACTGCTCTAACCACTGAACTACACGAGGCCTAACAGGACTGACGAATTTTTCAAGTACTTTTTCGCTGATACAAAGCGTATTCTCATCAACATTCAGGCGATCACAAACATTTTTTATTAAGAATATTTTGCAGTATAGCATTATGAATGTTAAATTGATTAAATATTATAATTAATAAAGAAAATAATGAAGAAGATACGATCTTACAGCATGCCAATTATGCTAAAGTTTACATAAAAGCATCTTCATAGAATTATGTCATAGTACAATGACAGCCTGAGGTCCAATATTGTTATATACCTGTCACAATTGATGTGTAAGCAAGACATTACACTAATCATTATTAGGACTTAAGAGAGATAATACAATGGCAGATTACAAGCTGTTGAAATGTGATTATTATAGCAGAATTGGCTTGCAGTTTACAAAATAGCACGTCAGATTATACAAAACTTTCAAAATCAAGTGAAGAACACTTGATTTTAAACCCTAATACATTGGGAAAGGGTAGAGTTTTAAAATCAAACATAAATTTTAAATAGGACCACATTGGTCATTCACTGTCTAATAAAAAAAAAAGTTGTTTCATTTATGGATAGTGGGCGCGAAAATATAAGAAATCGACAAGAAAAGAATTTTAAAAATCTGTCAACAATTCGAGGAAAATCGGTGTATGTACATAATAAATACATTGCCGTCGGACATTTAACCTCCTCCTTTTCGATTTTGAAGTCGGTTAAAAATAACACGCAATTATAATATACAAGTATCTACGTAATATAAATACGTAGAGACGGACATTGTTAAGTTACAATCTGACGCAAAAAGGAGTGTGTTAGTATTGAATTCATTTATAACAAATAAATGCAGACAATTAAAGACAGTATTCAGTTAAATACGGGGGCTTAGCTTAAGCTAATCATCTTGGAATTTGAGCAATGTAATCGTATGTGACATTATCTTATATTTATTTATTTAAACCTCAGTATACACAACTTACAGGATATGACGATAAGAAATTATAAAGACAAGGAAATTAAATAATGATTAAAACTGATAACTATGTCAATTCCAATCAATCAACAATGGACACGTCATTGGTGGGAAAATTGACTGACCAACACGTTTATCACATAATTATGATTATCAAGAAAAGGGCAATTATGGATTAATTAAATCACCTCCACACAAACGTGAATATTGTTTTTGTTTTAATTCCAAAACGCCTTCTCTCAATAACGCTTATTACGGTGTGAACGTAAAGGCGTCTGCGTCTGCAAACACCAGTCTGTTGAGTACCAGGCGATCATAGAGAAGAGTTCGGCTTACGACGATCCGACCGAGAAGTGCGTTGGATCACAATGTTTTCGTTTTTATTACGAAGGAAAAAGAGTTACGCCGCGGTACTTCTTTCGTGAGACAGACTTTGTGAGGGTTCCGAGAGATCTGTACAAATATTAAAATCCAAACCATAAATGAGTGTTAAGAATTTTATGAAGATTCGATGTTATCTATTATAAAAAATGTCTGTTGTCTTTCTTTCTCAAATTCTTAGACCTAGTAATTTCGAAGATAATGGAGGAATGGATAATTTTCGCCTGTTGTCAGAACTTTATATTATAATTATATTCTAAATTTAGCCTTTAATATGTTTTACAATACTCGTATATGAAAAAGTTATTTTAATTCCTAACCGATTTTTGCGTGAAGAAGTAATAAACATTCAATATGTAGGTGTCCATATGCAGCAAGAGATCATATTTTTAAAATGTGAGATTTTAATCGTTCGTCCTCAATAAATTACTTATTGAAACGAATTGATATTGTATTTGCTAATTTAGTTTATGTCAATGAATCAAACTAGATGTCGCTGCGGTACTTTCTTGATTTCTCCTTGACAACTTTTCTGGTTTTCTTTCATGTATAAAAGTAAATTCGTTTTCAAAACTCAATAAACAACACATATTCTATTTGTACTTTTTCGAATTTGTATTGATATCCAAGTTTCGTGCCATTCAAACTTCAGTTTTGAAATGTTAGTTAAAAGGAACGGAAATGACTATCTTTGATTCATTCGTTTCCTGCAAAAATCAACTTTTGCTTGGGTCGTCATCTAATGGAGGTACTTTTTTAGTGTTCTTTTTTTAATATTACCTCATTCGTTAGCATATATGGAGGCGATAAAAAAATATACATATTCCTTAGTATCATACATTTATTATGACTTGTATACATCTATGGCTATTGTAAATCATAGATTTAATCACTATGAACAAATGACAACAAATTGTGCAACACTACATACCGTCTTCGCCACGGCCATAGATCGAAACCATACAAAAGTTCCAACGGTGCTGTTGCAGTGTAATGGAAAACGGCCACAAAATTTTGTAATCCTACCCCGTCATTCCTTTAGTACTGGATTTGGACGCCCTCATGCCGGTTTCAAGGTGTAGCCATCTCGGAGTCTCCGGATTCGATCCCGGTGGAATCATTTTAGAAAATTGACATTTCTATATTGTCTCGGTTCTAAATGGTCTGTTAACTTCGTTATCTCAGATACTCTATAATACGAAGGCGTTAGCTACTCATCTCGGAATCTAAGCAATGTAATTAAATTAATTCATTGTATTATTATTATTAATTAGCTGCTATTGAATTTTAATGGGAGAACCGGAAGTCGCAAACAAATGACATTATCATAAACGTATTAAATTATAGTAAATTAAAACACGACATTAAATATTCGAAATTTATTTCTACTTATAATATATTACAAATAAAAAAACACTATGTTATCATGCCATTCGCTATATTTATTTTTTATGATACATACAAAGCAATTACTTTATAACGAGTTTTGTAATCAAATCAGTAACATTCTAGAACATATTAATATCGTTTACTATGAAATATTCAAGGATGTGAGTAGCACATATTTTATAATTGTATTTCGTAATCAGAGTACATTTTAAAGATTTTCTTCATTTTTTTAGCAACGATTATCTGTACTAAATTCAAGTCATATCATTCTAACTTCAAAGCTAAACTTGCCATGTCATAACGTAAACTACCATTTTCGAAGGTATAAATAAAATAAGAATCAATCAGATTTATAGTAACTAAATATTTAATCCATGATTCACATAAGGTTCAAAATAGTAGCGTTATAAATACATCGATCTATTCAACATTAATCGAAATTAATCTTTACATCACAGTGGTATCCAGAGGTGATATTACGTGAATAACTTCGAAGAGAACATACACATATTAAGAGATTGAAAGATTCAAAGAACATAAGTTTGAAACACATTGGCGTATTTAGATTTTAAAGGAGACCGCTTACTAATACTCGTGACAACAACCCACAGTTTCTTGATTATATTTCAAATCAAGAAGCTGTTGATTTTTCTAGGGTAAACAATTAGGTTTTTAGGGTTGGCATCGCTTATCTTTGCTCTCCATTAGTAAGATAAAATAGGGATGACGACTAATTTTTGTTTTTCTATTCATCGGGTATATAAAGAATATTAAACACGTATTTTTTTATTTTTTGGGTAATCAATAAATTACGGTGATACATTGAGATGAAATGTCGCATTGCATTACGTCACACCTTTGTACATTTTCTACATAGTTGTGACGTAGCGAGCCCCCAATCCTCAACAAAAAATACGTATCCAATATTTTTCTAGTATTGGGGAACTATTCCGTAAAAATCTGAACCAGAATTCTATTAACTCAATTAACTCATTTTTTTGTATAAAAATACTTAACAAAATTGATTGATAATAGGTCTCAGATATTCGATCACTAGGTCATTTCGAAACTCACTCCATTTTTTGCCACGAAACTTCATTACCAATCAAGGTTGAGCGGATGCAGCTTTTGAAGTGATTTCGGGTTCGGTTTTTTACAGAATCTCGAATCGCAGGGCTGATTGACGAATTAATTATTCATGTACAAAATTCTTTCTCATCGGCAACCTCTTTATACTGCAATAATAGACAAATACTTTACTGTTTCACTCATTTTGGTAAAATTTATAGAATTGAATTTTCATATGAGTGATAAATTCTTTAAATAAGTGTTTTTCGCGTGTACATAATATTTTGGTTGACTATAACGTATAAAGTGGGTAAAAGTCATAATTACTGAGTAGAAAAAAATCTATTTAGTCCGCCAATTAGAGAAGTGAGAACTCGCTACGTCCCAACTATATACAAAAATGTACAAAGCTGTGACGTCATGCGACATTTCAACTCAATGTACCGCCGTAATTTATTGACTTCACAAAAAAAAAATACATAATTAATCTAACTGACGGGCTGAAAAACGAAAACTGGTCATGATCCCTACTAAAAATATAAATTTTTAGACACGAGTGAAAATATAAGATTAGATATAAAGTTTATTTCAGTGCATAATGTTCTCTTGTGAAGTTATTTTGTTTAGTATAATCGTTCCGCCTTGCTCGGTCCGTGTACACAAGCCCAGGCTTGCATGCGCCGCTCCAGCTCCGGCCTGAAGTGACGGATCAGACCCTGGACTGGCCACGCGGCTCCATCACCCAACGCGCATATAGTGTGACCTGAAGATATTAAATATTCATTAAATACTAGCGTTCTAACTAGGGAACTGTATATTTGGATATAGATTCGTAGCATAACACGGATATAATTCTAAGACAAATATTAAACAATGGTTACTGTGGTAACGTTTTAATTCCCTATACAAACTTTCACTCATATTTTCATCCCTTTATTTGGTGTTTTTCGGGATAAAATATAACGTATGTTCACTGCATATAATGTAGATTTGCGAAAGTGAAACAATTTTTAAATCAGGTCTAGCAGATCGGAGCCTATTCGTTGCAAGCAAACATTCAAACAATGAAATCTTTCCCCTGTTAATATTAGTGTAAATAAAACATTGCAAAATTAAGGGTTAATAAAACAAAATCTGGCAAAACGGTATCGCTTTTTTATGAAATAAATGGAATAAAAATGAACAAACATTTAACAATAAATATGATTAATTTTAAATAAAAATCATTTAGGGTTGGTTGTATAAACTGACTTTATCAATAACCAATATGTTAAACTACCGGTTAAGCAAATAATAATGAGTTATCATTTGGCAATTGTTACATGACGTCACAACTGTAACTATAAACTATAATCCCCCTGTTTCGCTGGTTAAAGTTATCGTTTTTCCGCCAAATTTGACATAAAACCTAACTTTAACTGCAATTAAAGCGCAATCTAATTGTTTTAAACTTTCATAAACATTAAAATAGTTATTTACGGGATTACTACCGTGTACAGTCAACAGCACGTCAGACTATACAAAAAATTCAATCTCCCCACTAGATTTTTAAACCCAAATACGTTTACAGTAGAGGTCAAAATCATTGTGGTAACGTGCAGCCGTATGTATGTACATATATTTTGAGTCACCGATATTTCGACATTTTATCGGGTACTCTATAAAAAAAATAAGGTATATAGGAGCAACTCCGTAAATATAGTTATTTATTTACGCGATGTTGCTATGTCCCTTTTGTTGAATGGCAACGGAACAGTGGCAAGTTCATAAATAAACAATTATCGGATTAATAGCAGTTTACACAATATCGTTTATAAATACTGATAAGTTGTACCCATAATTGACCAGTCACTAGTTTTTGACCAGTTACGATCAGGGCTCGGAAACGTTATTCAAAATAACGTTTTTAAAACGTTTCTTATGGTTCTTTGGGCAAGATTGCGTTCGAAACGAAAACGAAATGAGAACGCTTTAAAAAACCGGTTTAATCCGCAAGACGGTGCCGCGCGGGCTGTAAGGGCGGCGTACATTTATTTTATTACGTTATTTACAGTACGCGATGCAAAAAAACGCAAAATAAATGGTTAAAAACGTTTTATTAACCGAAAACAATATAATTCTGTTTTTTTCCAAAATCGTTTTTTATATCGTTCTGTTCGAACGAAACCGAAACAAAGTGTTTTTTAGGTATTTAAGATGAAAACGTTTCGAAAAATATACCGGTTTCCGACCCCTGGTTACGATATTATGTCATAATATTAATATTTCCTTTGTCTATTTGTAATATATTGCCACTATTTTGGTATTGGTTTATTTCGTTCAAACTTCCAATAAGTTGTACCCATAATTGACCAGTGACCAGTCACTAGTTGTTGACCAGTTACGATATTATGTGATGATATTAAGATTTCGGTTATTATTTGCAGTATATTACCAATATCTCGTTAGTGATTAATTTCGTTTAAACTTCTAATAAATTGTACCTATTAGCCGGTCACCTCACAAATTGCACCTATTATTGACCAGTGACTAGTTGAATTGTTACGATAATATGTCACAATATTAAGATTGCTATTGCTTATTTGTACCGGTTTCTGAATTGAGAATTTAAAGTAAAGCACGTCTCAAACCGTGCTTAAACCATTTCAAACGTAAATTTTTTTTAAAGCAGTTTGATAAAACTAGCACTTTTTGCTTTGTGAAACGTAAAAAACTTAAGTTATTGAGAATAATCAGTTGAGGTTTTGTACTTTACTCAATTTAGAAACCGGCCGTAAGTCAACAAAAAAGCCGGATTAATATAAACTAATACGAAACCAATAACAAATTTTACGAAACTAATTTCGGCACATATTAAAGTACTTTCATGAAGGCGTGTCATATTTAATATCACTGAATTTAAAGATTATAAAAATAAAATTAATTTTCTAATGTACAATCAGCACATTAGGTTTAATTTTTTTCGAATTTATTTTTAAACCTGTACGAAGGTATGTACGCACCTTCAATTTGTTTGGAAATTTCCCATAACATGTCAATCTCTTTCGGCGAAGCATTTCCGTCGACGAACCTGCAAATATATAATATGCAATTTATCTTAATACATATTTCTTTTTTTACAATAAATTAAATTGTCGCGACTTCGTCCGCATTAATTATAGTCGTAGGCTTACAGTAGATGAAAGAATTATTTAAGTCGGTCCAGTAGTTCTCGTATCTATTCAATGCAAATTTAAAATTTTACCTCTATATTGTTAGTATAGATAGACAGTAAACACAGACTATTTAATTTTTAAACATATAAAACTAAACACAATTGGCAGAGTGACTCGTAGACTGTGGTCAGTATCAAAGTGTCACCATGTGTGAAGTTCTATCACCTTTCAGGTAAATTTAGAAAATGAACTTTATGGCCTTGGGTCTGGATGTTGTGTTTTCTGTCTTTCAAATATTCATAACACAAGTGTTTTTACTACTTAATATACGATGAGTAATTTTTATATAATAATACTAGCATTCCTCCAGCGACTTCGCCAGCGAATTATTGTACATATTGATGAAAACCGCATTATAGCGTACAGACAGCGGGACGCTATTAAGTTTTATACTTCCCTTTTTAGATTTCTTCAATTAAAATATATTTCTTAAAGAATTTTTCTTGTAATCACATGTACAAGTGAGTTATATCTTTTTATTTATTTTAATCCATGTTATGTAATTACGTTAATTTATCATACATCTGCCAAACCATATAGGAGTTTGTCGGCAGCAGTTCACGTTTATTTGTAACATATTATTTTAATATTTCACTTAGTATGGTTAATGGTGTCAACAATGTTATACCAAATTAAATATAATAGGGATGATGACTAATTTTTGTTTGTTTGTCCGTCAGGTAGAGTGTTAAAAAATATTAAACACGTATTTTTATATTTTTCGTAATCATAAAATTACGGAGTTACATTGGTTGAAATTTCGCATGACGTTACGTTAGGGTACGTTTTCTACTCAACTGTGACGTAGCGAGCCCCCACTCCTCAACTTTAAGGCCTGTTATCTTAAGCTATTTCTTGTTAAATTGAAGTAAAAAAAAATACGTATGTAATATTTTTCTATTATCTGACTGACGGACTAAATAGAATTGCATTTTTTTTTACCCAGTCATCATCCCTATTATATCGTTCTATGTAAATATAAGGTTGAATTCTCTATGTTCTGAGATGAATAAGAGGGGCGTGACGTCACGCGCTGTTTGCGATCACGTGATAACGAGTATAAAATATTCGTTTTTCACAATTTATTTATTATAAATATAATAAGCATAAAAGTGTGATTATCGGTAATAGTAAACACTACCAGAAAAAAAAATGTATTTACTTTCGGTTTACTGTCTACAGCCGTATTCAATTTTTAAGGGTTAATAGAACTTACCTATACATGATTTTGTTCATCCAAGATACTCCCTCCCTACAAGGGGTGCACTGACCACATGATTCGTGCTTATAGAACATAATGAGACGCGCGATCGCCTTCACTATGTCGGTAGATTTGTCCATAACTATAATAGCGGCAGTCCCGAGAGATGTCTGAGCCGCAACTAACCCATCAAAGTCCATTAGCACTGTCTCACATACACTGAAAACAGTTTATATAAAATTAGCGGCACATCACCCATCTTTTATTGTACCCAATGCTGGGGACCTTCCCTGTGGAAGGAATCAAGTGGAATAGCATAGGGCGAATCGGTCATGAAGCGGGCCCAGTCCAGATTGGTGGGTATTTATGACTGCACATGCAACCGGGACCAACGGCACGGAGGAGTTCGATATAGTAAATTTTTGGTCACCCATCCTATGATCGGCCATTAAGGAAGTTGCTTAACAACCGTATCGCAGATCGAGCGCGGTAACCACTACGCTATTGAGAAAACCAATGTATGAAGAGGAAATTCCAAATGGATCGTTCTTGAGTAAATATTGTTCTTTCATAATCGAAACTAAATAAATGAAGTCAGAGCCGAACTATGTTAATGAGTCCATTAAAACAGATTAAATTCAATTTATTACGTAAAAGAATGTAATATTAAACATACAATGACATGCCATGTGACCACAAAATGTGCAATCAGCTTTGAAATTAATTGTCAATAAAAAATAAAGGTTGTTTAAGTTAATTGAAATATTAACAGTTTTAAATAATTTGATGGTCATTCCCATTAGAAGCCAATTCCGACTTAAATCCTTCGTCATCTGCCTATTAATGCATGTGGAGTACACATGAACATCACAACCGTTTTGGGTTTTGGGCAACGCCTTCCATAGCGCGGTGGCGTTTTATATAGGAAATTTAGGTCACCCATCATGTTGGTTGGTCTTTAAAATCACAGCTTTTCATATGCATGATAAATAACAGATATTTTTATATTTTTGCAAACCCCAGTGTAAAGTGTAAAGTTATCAATTCACATAAAATTTTACAAAATGCACTTGTCAGGCTCCCGTTACTGCTTGATTTCCCACACCGCCTGGTTTGCTGGAAGAGATCTCTTATAGAGATAAGCCCACCCTTGCTTGTGATCTACCTACTATTGTAATGTTCACTTTGTTTTTTGTGCAATAAAGACTAATTATAAAGCTTGCGAAGAATCAATAAGAATGTTTCTTTCTTACTCTTTAGGTATTAAAGGTGTGGAGGAGCCCCCTGGTATGATAGCCAGTAGATTATCCCAGCCGCCGCAGACTCCGCCCGCGTGTCTCTCTATCAGCTCCTTGAGGGGTATACTCATCTCCTCTTCGACAGTGCACGGCGTGTTCACGTGCCCGGAGATATTGAAGAGTTTGGTGCCAGAGTTACGAGGTCGTCCAAACGACGCGAACCATTTACCACCGCGACGACAGATAGTCTGAAAAGGAAACAATATTATTTTTGACTATGCATAGAAGGATGTTTGTTGTTGTTTTTGTTTGTTCCTTTCAGAGGGCTGTGACATCAAATCGAAGCCATGACAGAGGTTAGCTTTTAAGCAGAAAATTTTGAACATGAATTATATTTTTAGATTTTAAATTAATATGTGAGAGATATTTTTTTTATATGTATTTTAAAATATATTTCAAGTATATCTATAAAATAAAAATATATAAAAAATTGTCTACAACCATATTAAAATATAATAAATCCATTACAGGTGACAACTGAGTACCATGAGGGTCAGTCTTTACACATTTTTCAGTGGCATAGCATGCCTTGGATGGGCCCTGTATCATTAGTTGGGGTTCGTATCATTCATATGGCTGATACGGAAATACGCCCCTGGCTTCTTAGATGTTTACTACTCTTATTGTGTTGTCAAAATTTCAGTATTTTAAAATATGTACTGATTAATACATTCACAAAGATTTATGTTAAATAATGAAAAAAAAAAAACTTTGTTTACCTTTAATTCTTCAAATTATACAGTTGAATAGATAAACTCCTTTTTTGCAGTTTAAATAACCAATATTTAAAGAATTATCTCTATCTATTCTATATAAAATAGTTTATACATTGAAAATGATCCTGTATAGTAAAGCTGTCTACAGAAATAACAATATCACATAACTTACCGGAGCAACAGCAATAGTCTCCACATTGTTGACCGTAGTCGGGCAACCAAATAGTCCCACATCAGCAGGGAATGGAGGCTTTAGTCGTGGCTTGCCCTGCTTCCCTTCTATGGATTCAATGAGGGCAGTCTCTTCACCACAGATATAAGCACCTGCTCCTCGGTGTACATACACATCAAAGTCATAACCAGAACCACAGGCATTCTTACCAATCAGTCCAGCTTGGTATGCCTAGAGAATTAATAATATTATTAGAAATCATCATCATCATCATCAGCCTTTTATTTCGTCCCCACTGTCTGTCTGTCTGTCTATATAAATAATGTCCACACAATATTATTTATATATTACAATATTTGATCAGTTTTGTATTCACTATGCTCTATAATTTTAAAGTAAATGCTTCACATCACTTCATGAAAAATTCACTAAACCCAAATCTCTAAAAAGGCATAGAATCCATAATATTCAGCAACACAAAATACTGCTCTAACCAATGACCATTTATCAATATTTTAAATGCACAATATTTTACAAAAAGGGGGGTGGAATTATAACTCTTGACACCTTATTAAGAATCTTCATGCAAAATTTCAAGACATATTTTGTGATTACTCACTCTGCCTGTCAAATATTTTACAATATTTAGTAACAATCATTTCTATTATAATTACACTATATCTGTTTTAATTAAAAAAGCAATGACATTTACAATCATTATTTAATACCCTAATACCTGTACTACAAGTTGGATTTGAGTAATGATGAAACTTGTAATTGTTATCACTAGAAAAACTAATTTTTAATTATCAATTCAATAATCAAATACCATAACAACAAAAATATTTCTGATATTTCGCAAGCAATCATTGCTGCTGCAATCAGTTATTTACCTCTGCAATAGCAACTTGCAAATTGCTGGCTTCATTATAAAACTCGCCTCTGATGTAAATATAAGCAGCTTGGGCACCCATAGCACGTCCAGCAATAAGGCAACCTTCAACCAGCTTGTGAGGGTCATGACGCATTATTTCACGGTCCTTGCAAGTGCCAGGCTCTCCTTCATCAGCGTTCACCACTAAATATTTTGGGCGACCATCGGAAGGTTTGTTCATGAAGGACCATTTCATGCCAGTGGGAAAACCGGCACCACCACGCCCACGAAGACCAGATGTTTTTAGTTCATCTAAACATTTATTTAACAAATTTAGTTCTGGTTAAATTTAATATGTGTAGTCATTTAAGAGGCCTGTAAATGTCCTTATCATTTATGTTTATTATGTGAGCTATGATTTGAGAAATTACTTTTAAGTCAACATATTGAATGTGATAGAAATTCAACTTTACATATGCATAATGCTTTTATAAAGAATACTCACTGACTATCCAGTCTGTCCCTTTCAGAAGAATTTCCTTGGTCATGTACCAATCTCCTCGAGCCAAGGCACCCTTCAAACGCCAATCATGTCGGCCGTATAAGTTTGTGAAGACCCTATCACTGTCTGCCAAAGGCCCGAACTTGGACTTAGTTGGAGGCGCTTGTGTCTGCTGATAGCGTACCGGTACATTGTTAATGCCATTAGCAAGAGGCGCAACAATGCCTGAAACCAGACGTAGACATGTCAAAATTATGTAAGTCTGCGCAGCAAACAATACAATGAAATGAAAACTATAACATCTGCCTATCTCATATGACAAGAATTGAAAAATTTTTCATCAAATATTGTTACCAAAATAATAATTGCGAAAATATTATATTTACCCAGATTTGTTTTTGTCCTTTGAATAACTCTAACCAGCGCACCAGCCATTTTTTATTAAAACGTCAAACTGCTAATTGTCAAACTGTCAATGTCAGTAGCTGTCACTGTCAAATAATGAGGAAGTATTAAAAAAAAATCTATTAGTTCCCGAACTCAAACTAAATGTCACTACAGTACTTTCTTGATATCTCCATGACAACTCTTCCGTTTTTCTTTCATGTATAAAAGTAAATTAGTTTTCAAAACTCAATAAACAACTCATATTCTATTTGTACTTTTTCGCATTTGTATTGATATGTAAGTTTCGAACTATGCAAATTTCAGTTACTTTATATGTTAGTTAAAAGGAACGGAAATGACTATCTTTAAGTCAATCGTTTCCTGAAAAAATCAACTTTTGCTAGAGTCGCCATCTAGTGGAGGTGCTTTTTTAGTGCTTTCGTATTTTTTTAAAATACTTCCTCATTGCTTTGATCTATGTTTGATTAACTCTATGCTGAAGGATTTTTTTTCTTTGACAATCCTATCATATCCTTAATATACATAAAATAATAATTGAGAGACCAACTATCATCGACGATTTACCACGTCGCATATAAGTATTGCTGTGTTTGCCATTGGTTCACTCAGTAAGCTTTGGAAAATGCCTTAGTCAATTCGATTTATTATATATTTCTGCGACACTCCAACAACAAGTGTTTTCAGTCCTCAATTATTCGACAAGTATCACAATTAGGAAAATTTGATTTTTTCATTAAGAAACTAAATTTTTAGTCAGATAGTGTTCACGTCTAACTAGAATATCCTGTCTGCTTAAATTACAATTACTGACACATAATATTCGAGGATGCACATAAAACTATCCATTTATTCCAAGTTCCTTTGGTTGTTGAGCATTCAACAAAGTATTACTTCCAGTTGTTGTACTTTTAAAAACAGACAATCGTATGGAACAAGCAAACGATGTGCGCTTCGCGTCGTGGTTAGTCACACACAAACCAAGAAGAAGATACTACGACTCACACTAGCGATCGAGAAAGTATGAAAAACTAGCAAACAATAGGATGGCAAGTAGCTAGTACAGCGTGTAAGCTATACTTGGCGTGGTTAATAATATGCGTTTTATAGCTTAGGTTTGATAATATTTTGTATTATTTTAATGTATACTTATATTATTATATTATTTATATTATTATATTATTATATTATATTATTATTATTATATTATTGATATATGCATGTCTATTATTATTATTAAATATTATTGTTTTGATTAATAATGAAAATATACAGATATGTATAAGTATTTTTAAAGATTATTTATTTTTTATTGCATTCCGTAATGTACTATTAGGATGTTTATAACAAAAAAAAAAACAAAGGTGTAAGTTTTATTGTTTCTGTGAATGTAACTAATTTAATTGACATTGAGTAAATAAATATAAATATATTATATCAGACGGCACTCTTCAGAACGCTATTACGCTACACGAATACAGTTTAGTGTTTATCACAAACTAGGTGCGGTATATAGGTTTAAGTTCCTTACTCGTACTCGGTGCAGAATCTGCAGAAAGAATCCCACGAAAATGGAGAATCTTTGGGTAACCAAATAGTAAAATAATTAAGGAACTATTGGGGATGTGACTTTTAAGTATAAAACTAACTATCATGAAAAATAAACATAAAAAATATTTATTTGCACCTTACTCATTCAACGAAAGATTATAAGTTGGACTGTAAAAGTACAAAAATAAATAATGTTTCCAGTCACGTTCTGAGTTTACACATAAAAAAATGGTAATAATTTTTGGGAAGTAATTTCGACACAAAGAAACTTTCCACTTTTGTTCTTTATTGTAAAATATTGGCACCAGCCATTTTTCGTCCTTTTGCTTGATATTGGTATTCTTAATTTTCACAAAATGTACAACCGAAATAATGGAAAGTTTGAACAACCAATAAGCCATGAAGACAAACTAGATGTCACTACGGTAGTTTCTTGATTTCTCCATGACAACCTTTCCGATTTTCTTTAATGTTTAAAAGTAAATTAGCACTCTTAACACTTAATTCTAAAGTAAATTAGAATTAGATATCTAAGTATCAAACTTTGCAAATTTCAGTATTTTTATATGTTAGTTAGAAGGAACGGAAATGACTGTCTTTGTACATTCATTTCCTGCAAAAATCAACTTTTACTAGAGTCGGCATCTAGTGGCAGTGCTTTTTTAGTGCTTTCGGTTTTTTTTAAATACTTCCTCATTAAACTACGGGGAGCCACAAAATGACCGACAAAGCCGAAAGTTTCAAACATCATTTTATTTGACAAATATTTCAAAATAAAAAAGGTTTAAAAATGGAGTTTCTAATTTTCTAATTTCTATGTGTTGAGAGAGTGTTGAGAGATGTGTATAACGCGTATGCGCAATATCGATTGTGCGCAGATAACACCACGAAATACATTAATTTAATTGAATTATTTACCAATATCTTGATGATAGTCGATGCTGATAATATCCATTTCCTCTCTGAAGACTGAGCTAAGCACGATCTTTTGCATGCATGCACAAAACACATCACATTTCACACAAAACTAAACACAATCTTTACTAAGGCTGTTAGTCTGTAAATTGATTTAAGCATTTTGACTGTCTTGTTTATTGATTGTCTGGTAGAATTTGCATGAAAGCGGTCTTATAAATCACAATCTAGTTTATTTCGTTTTTAGAAATGAAGAAGTCAATGACCGATTAAAAACTTTTCCTTAGTACGTCCCAAAAACAGCTGACTCAGGGTTGAAAACACTCATTTTTTCCAAAAAATTTGTAATTTAATAGCTCTGAAACTATTTGACCTAGACATATAATCTTTTTACAGCATATTAAAGACAAATAATACTCTCCAGGAACCTCGGGAGTGTCGGTCGTTCTGTTCCACCCAGTATTTAGTGCATGGATTTATCTTAAGCCTTTTTATAATGAAGTGATTGTAAGAAAATAAGGGCAAAAAGGGCAAGAAACCGGTGCCGTTAAAATAATAAAAAATGACAGTTTCACAATTTTTTTTTTTGACAATTTGACATTGAGAAAGAATTATTTTTTGAATTTTTGGTAGTAAATAATAAATGCTTAAATTGTTATAAAATTCATCTTTTAAATATTACTGAGTTAGGATTAATTGCATTTTTAAGCATTTTATCTATCGTTGTAGTATATAAACTACAGCTTTTGTTAATTTCTAGGCACTTGTTTATCTTTGAACTTTGATCCTGTAATAAATAGTAATTTAAAGACTTATATTGATAAAAGCATATTAATATTTAAATGAAATAAAACTAATCAAATGGCAGCCACTATACCTGCTATTTCAAAACTATCTACACGTATTATTAGAATCCTTGGATGTAATCCAGGTCCCATGACATTGCAAGGAACAAATACGTATCTGATTGGTACTGGAAAAAAGTAAGTACTAGTGCTTTTGGGCAAATTATTTATAAAAAGTGTATTATTAAATATACCAATATCTTTTACTTTAAAATTACAGCCGAATATTAATTGATACTGGTGATAAAGATGTAAATGAATACCAACAGAACCTGGCAAAAGTAGTACAATCTGAACAAATCAACATAGAGCACATTGTTGTCACCCATTGGCATCACGACCACATTGGCGGAGTAGAGAATATTTATGGCACCATTGCAAGTAGTAAATCTTAACTATTTGAGATGTTTGTTGGGTATCTGTTTTTTTTAAATAACTGCACTGATATTGAATAGAACATAATGTTTATTTAAATAATCATGTTTCATGGCTACTGTTTTGTTCATTATTAGCCATCATAATAATCCCACAAGTGGGTTATGCTGTGTGATTTAGAAACTGCAGAAGTGGCCAGTACCAATAATTTAATGTATTGTAAATTAAAGTGAAGTATAAAATACTATTTTTTGATGACCATAACATTGTTTAATTTGTGCAATTATATTTTTAACATTGTGCCTTGATTAATTTTTGAAATATATAAGTAATCTTAGAATGCCCTGCTAATGTTATTATTTGATATAAATATTAATGAATAAAAAAATGCTCTAATTTTCAGAACATCCAAAGGTATGGAAACATAAAAAGCATGAAACAGATGCGCCCGATAATGATGTGCCCGAATCAATTCCAATGTGCTGGCTGATGGACGGTCAAGAGATCAAGGTGGAAGGTGCAACAGTGAAAGTACATCACACTCCTGGCCACACAACTGACCACATAGTGCTGACTTTATTAGATGAGAACATACTCTTCAGTGGTGATTGTATATTAGGAGAAGGTACTGCAGTATTCGAAGATCTGTATACCTATATGATAAGTCTTCAAAAGATATTGGATCTAAAACCAAACTCTATTTACCCAGGACATGGAAATATTGTGGAGGTGGGTAATTATATGACATATCCTCAGGAGTTTTGATAATTCCACACAATAATATTTATAAGTTATTAATTAATCAAAGGGCAAATCTTATTAAAAAGTTAAAAAGCAAAGCATTTTAAGCATTAAAAACTTTCAGTAGTTTTATTACATTCAATCTTAATGGGCAGATTCCCCCACTGCCTGACTGTAACAAGTGAATTCCTAAATATAACATTTTTGGATAAATCTCATGTTAACCAATATTGCTAATTTTAATTTTAGGACCCAATACCAAAGATTGAATACTATATTGAACACAGGAAACAAAGAGAAGAACAAATATTAGAAGCACTAAGGACCAATCCTGATAAACAGATGACAGAGATGGATTTAGTGAGAATAATATACACTGAAACTCCTGAACACTTGTGGTCAGCAGCAGCCTATAATGTCAATCATCATCTTATTAAACTAACAAAGGAGAATATAATAAAAAATGTCAATATCAATGGAGAAAATAGGTGGCAATATGGCTCATCATTTAATTGTAACTTATAATAATTTTGCAGACTTAGATGGACTAGTTGTGGAGAACATTCTTGTACTATCTTGGAATTTCATATGGAGTATTGAAGAATAAATTACTATTGCAGGTTAGTTTAACCAAAGTTTTATGTATGATTTCTAGCAAACTGTTTTATTTAATTGTTGGTATGGTTATAATTTGAAAATGTATGTCAATTATTTATTTCTGGTCTGTGGTCGTAACTAGTTCTTTATGTATTTTTTGTAAATAAAACACTAATTATTTACAAAGTATTTTATTGAAAACAGTTAAATTAATGTAACTAATAATATGTTGAAGTACATTGTACCTTGCATACTAAGTCTAGGTAGTTGCATATCTGACGGAAGATATGAGGCATCTCATCGGTCGTGGAACATGTCAGAACTAACAAATATCTATGCCGTCGAAACTTGACGGATCTTCCGGACGCTACACAATGCTTAGTGTAAAAGGATGTATTACTGCACCTTCCAGTGGGCAGATTGCAGCATTAGCACATGTAATATTATTTTTTATAAAAATCAAATGTTATTTACAGACTAGTGAGCAAAGAGTATAGTTATAATACGCACAGTAAGAATTTTACATTTAATTTAATTTATTACATGAAAGTCTTCTTTTCAAGTGAAATTAATTAAAGATTGTATATTTGGATGCAAGAAGAAAAAGGAACATTTGTTAATCAATTTCCAAATGACAAAATGTTTGTTTATTACTATGTGTGCTGGTGCTGCCATCTACACCGAGCTTTGCGTAATACACCCGTTGCGTTGTCGGTCACGGAACGTCAGAACTAACAAATATATGAAATGAGATTCAACTTTCCACACACGACGTAAGATCAGTCACGTAACGCATACTTCTGTAAGGCGTTTAAAGAATTCTTCCGTTAGATTTGCACTGACCGTTGACATCTGATTTAGGAAATATGACACGAAATTAATTATGCAGAACTTTTTTCAATTTGAATAATACAATTTCATAAGTTTAATAATTTTTAGTCATCTTCATATTTATTTATTCTGTGAATAGTTAAATTACCTAACACAATAAGTATGAATAAGTTCCGAAACACTTTATTTTTAAGTGAGAACTGAAAACTTATAACACACCTCTTTTCGTCATGGGTTAGAAAATGGTATAAATAAGACTAATTCATAATATAATTGAGGTGATACTTCAACTTAATTTCAACTTACATTAGCTATGTACTATTATTATAGAAGTTATCGACGCATGCGCTTTGGAGGAGGCATTATATCTGAATCGTCATGGAATCTGTGGTTATCAATGAAATCAAATAGAATTTCTTTAGTCACCGGTTCCTTTATACTGTTGCACACAGCTGAAAAAAAAATACGCATTTTGAATGACCTCTAGTTCCAAACAATTTTATCCAGTTGTAAATTTAATATGTTGAACAGAATATAATAACAATGTAATTCTACATACTCAAAGTGTTTAGTTAATTTTATTTAATCTTAAGATCGATTGGTCTAACAACTAATATCCATTTACCAATGTAAATGAACCTTATTGAATTAATATTGTGTATAATTTATCCTCACTCACCCACAGCTGTAGTGTAACTGTTAGGGTACGATTTATCTGTCCTTTCCCTCATAAACACCCATTCGTTGTTCTTAAATGTGCACTCTATTATCTTGTTGTTAAGGTCTTTTATGTCTTTTGTAACTTTCATAGAAGCAAAAGGAAGATTATATTTCCCAACAAAGAGATGCCCTACTTTTTTAGGCAATATTCTGAAAAAGAAAACATTATTTAATATGATGAAGATGCAGATTATTTATTATTTTAAAATATTATTTATTATCGAAATAATTAATACTTGAAATTTAAAAAAAAGATAATTTCAATATTGACTATATATCTCTATATAAGGGCATTAAATCAGATGGAAAATGTTAAACATACCCTCGCCCATCCTCCATTACTATCTTCAGCTTAAAATCTACACTGTTCATGTTGCTAGGCTTCCATTTTAAAACGTCGTCACATCTACCCGCTACATATGGCTGTAAAATTACAAAAAAAATACACATTTTATAAAATGGCCAGGGTTTGCCCTAGGTTAGTTGACAGGAAGAGGTCGGAACGTTAGCGCTCATGGGACGTGTGGGGAAGTTCATTATGGCGTATGCGATAAGTATGACTTGTAACTAAAGTCTAGTAATGTGAGCACTTGACATCTTACGGCAATAATGTCATGTCAAGCTGTACATACTACGCCCAACTTTTAAAGTTACACGAGGCCTTGACCGTAGAATAAACGAAACTTGTAAAAAAATATTACACTTATCAGAAAAATAGAATAAAAATGGGATTTCGAATGTTCTCCAATTTTAACAATAGCATAGAAGCAGAGTGTAGTTGATTGTAGGAATAGAATTGGCACGATCACTCGAGTTTCGACGTACGGAAATGATCGTTCAAGCGACTTTCGTGACATTAGGTAACTTATTTAGAATCTCTAGGGCAGACGGCCCGTGGGGGGGATCGCTTGGAGAGGCCCTTGAGTACAACTTCCATCTTGAGTTTTACCGTCAACGAACAGCATGGGAAGAGGTCCTTTCCCTTGGCGTTGTTTCTGGTCATCACCTACCCAGTGTGTAACAGGCCGATAGAGGTATCCAGCATGTGTTTCATCTCAATGATATGAGACCAGCAAACCAATTCTAATAATATTTACGTAATAATAAATCCCAGTATCATTGAGATTCGCATGATCGACTACTTCTTTCTTCTAACACACTCTCACATTCTACTCCTTTTTTTCATTCTGGCTTTATGTTCGACTCTTTTACCCTTCAAGCCACACGACTGTGGAATAGCCTCTCTGACCCCATCAGAATATCTCCCAATAAATTTATTTTTTAATCGTAAAATTCCTTTCTTATGAAAAATATGTGAAAATCATCATCAATATTATGTAACTATATTTGTGTTATTGTATGTATATATATATTGTATATTAATATATTTTTTTCGTCAGCTATGCATGTCTACGCATAGTTAATCTTTACTTTATGCCGCCATCCCGTTTATCGTTTTTTCTAAAAAACTAAAAGTGCGCCATTTGTACCATTTCTTTTCTGGTCAATAAGTAATAATCTCAGTTCGAGCGAAAACAGCAGACGCCAATCCAATCAACAAAGTTTTCCGACAAGTCGTTTGCAGTTCAGGCTGTCTGCTTATGGAATAAATTTCCAGATGACATAAAGCGTGCACCAAAAAGTCTTTAAAAATAAAGTAAAGAGCATTACTTATCTGCCACTTCATGAATATTAAATTAGACTATTGTATATTTATTTATTTTTTTATCGATATATATGTGTATTAGTATAGAAAACTTTTATTTTGACTCCGTAGGACACCATTTACTACCCATCATTTTATGTAACTGTCCAGCCTAACTTTCGGTTGCCTAGACGATATTGCTTTTTAGCGATAAGGCTGCCGATTGTACTGTTAATACATTTATTGTTATGATGATTTTTCTTTTTAAGTACAATAAAGTGGTTATTCATTCAATGGAATCTCAACGATTTACCTAAAGTCCAATATTAGTAGTCCTAATACATAAATAGTGACAGATATAATATTGGACTTCATGCAGATTGTACAATGGCAAAATAAAAATAGTTGAGATTCTATTGAGATTCTATCATTACATAAACAATACGGAATTGGTCTGTAGAACGTTCGAAGTTCTAGCTGTGGCGCTGCTAGACTGATGTCAGCCCAGCCCACAAAGAAACTCGTTTATAGCTGAAACTATGTAACTTAGCTTTTTGTCATTATTTCGTAATGGACTGATAAATCAACATATAATTTCAATATAGAAGAATGTGGCGCTACCAGCCTGACACAGACCCATAGAAAAGGACATCGATTTAGGTGGCCCTACATTTTGAATAGCCTCTTAGGAAGCAAGTCCGGCAAGTCACACACAAGACAAGCAAGTCCGGGAGAGTATCCATAAAATAAAAAAGGCTAATCACGCTGACGAGTTAACAGACACGTAAACCTACCTCTTTAGAAGGCTGGAATATAAGTCCGTCAGGTTCATGAGATAGTGTTTTGGCAAATTTTTCACCGAGCAACTGGTGTGCCATTGGTAACTCCCAGAATTGTTTCAGTCTAACACTGAAAGGTTCGCGTTCCTTTTTTATAATGCCTTCCTTCATAGCTTGATGTCTGAATCAATCAAAAACCAAAATTATTCTCATAAACAACTTGCGAGTTAACTAAATATTAATTTAATTACTTAGTATACAATGCTAACCTGGGATTGACGATTTCATTTTCTATGCAATTAAGTCTGACAGGGAAAAAAGCCATTTTACCAACATCTTGACCTTCAAACTTTATTATGTCGTAACATAAATATCTTGGTATTTCTTTATCCCCTACTTTGTCTATTACCATCTCCTAAAAAAAATATATTTTTATCAATGATAATTTTACATAAACTTATCTTAGACATTTTGTGTTTTTTATCATATTTAACCTACTTACCCCGTCTAATAGAGTATTCCTTAGATGTTTTCTAAGGTCTTTTTTGTATAGGAACTTTAAGCCAAACACTTTAAATACACAGTTATCTCTGTCTAGCATATACACTTCCCCTTCGCCGTCAATTAACATCATATATCTGAAATTTAAACTTTTATTTATTTGCACCCTTAAAATAGTTTAAATTAAAATATCGTTCAGTCTACAGCGCCCCACAACTATATATCAGATCTATATTTATTTACTAAGTCAATCATTGGCCAATTTTCAGCATGAAACCATTTTTCAAACCAATTATTAGAGTGATGTGACGAAACGAAAAGTGCGAGAAATGGTCACTCTACCTTATTCAATTTTGTATACTTATTTATAAATTGAATCATATGAGCTATTTCTTGTAACTTTATTATATTATCTTGTCATTCAGGCGTTTTTACATTTTTTTACCAACTATTGAAACAAATATACAAAGCTAACAAAAAACTAGACATAAGAAAATACCTCACACCATCCGCTTTCCATGATACTCGGTAAGGTTTCTGGTGTAACTTTTTCAAATTCGCCATATTCATAGACACAGGCTGTGAGCCAGGAAATCCAGTCGTTTCCCATTCGCAGTACTCTTGTGTTTTCTTTTGTATTTCACTGAGTCTTGGCTGAGTATCAAAAGGCATTACACCCCGGACTCCAGGCATGAATGTGGCCTTTTTGTGAGTAGTTTCCCGCCTTCCTTTCTTCGATTTTGATGAACCCTGAGACGAGTTACTTTCACTTTGTGAATTGCACGGTTTGTCATCATCGTCATCATAATCAATTTCTTCTTCCTCTGAAAGAAACTCCATTATACATTTTTTGATATTTGATAACAAGTGATGAATATACTGCACTTAGTGTTTGTTACTTCTAACAAAAAAATATGAAATATGTCTAAAACGGTAACGTATATGTAAACAACATCCATGTACCATTTTTTGTTTTAAAATAAATTGTAAATGCATTTAATTTTTGCAAAATTAACGACGATTTATAATATGTGTATTACCAGAACCGAAACGGGGTCAGGACGTAGCTTCGTATGCAACCAAATGTTTATTGAAATGTGAGGTCACCAGGTCCTCTATGTGGCCGAAATTTTATATTACCATGTTTTTATCTATGCAGTGTATGAGCTCTTTCTTTTTTTAACTGATCCGGACCTAGACGTCACAACCCGTAATGATACGTGATTCATTTTACGGGACATTTAAAATTAGTTAATAAAAAACCCAAAAACAATCAATTAGTCAATTGTTAATTTTTTTTGTAAATCTCCTCTGCTGTTCTGTAGTACAATAACACCACTCACCCACAAGTCTGTCGCATAACTCGATTGGTTTTGATTTGACTGGCAATACAATAAATACAATTGGAACTACCTGTAAGCGATCAGTTGTGGATTGATATTGAGTTATTGTACAGATCTGATGCTAATCAAACTAAAGCCAAGTTAATGGGTGAGGAAGCTGGACCTTATTATGTACATATTTTAGGATTTCAAAATGTCCAAGCCAAAAGTCTTTCAGCCGAAACTGGAGTTTCAGCCTTGATCTCAGTTTCCAAGGAACTTATTAAAAATTTACTTGAGTATGCATACATACAATAAATACTGTTAAGTAATAATAATTAAAATCAAAAGACAATCATCATCTATACATAATATAAACAAAGTCACTTCCCACTGTCTGCATGTTGAGATCTTTTAAATTACACAACAGACTTTCATGGGGTTTTCAACAACAGATATAATACAAGACCAAGTGGGTGAAACCAGAGTGGAAGTAATACGGCGTGTAGTCAGCAATCAGTATTGTATCTATACGATTACCCAATTCATGGATTAATAATAATTGAGAAAAAGATGTCAAATCAAATTACCGTTACACCAATCAGGTCTCAGTGGAGCGGCAGGTGTAAATTCAGCATCGTCATAACGTCGGTATAGTTCCTCTAAATAATCCTGCTTGTATATTCCTGGAGGCCTGTAAGACATTTTTATTTGCTGTAAGTGCATGTGTTTATTATTTACTTATTTTTAATATTCATATGAAAGTGAAAGAAAGAAAGTGTATTCAACTAAAGATTATAAAAGTTTCATTGTGTTGCATGCAAAAACAGGCTCTTTATGGTAACAAATCATGCTCTCTATCTATACTAATATAAGAAAGGCCTAAAGTTTTTAACTTTGTTGGTTTATAGAGGGTAATCTTCTGTACTACTGATACAACTAAAAAATAATTTCACCTATGAGAAGCTATATCACATGCGGGTGATATATGCTATAATTTATGCTGGTGAGCAGCTTGTTAAATAAAAAAAAGCCTACTGAGGCACTGGATAAATAAATTTGTATAGAAATCCTTTTGAAGGCCACTCTGTAAACTTGTCTTTGTATGCCGCCATTTGAATTTTCACAATAAACAATATTTTATCTAGATATCTTGGGACCAGATCTATGTGTTTAGTGATATTCAATTGACTCTGCATGAACCTCAAAGAAATTAATATTTTATTAGACAACATCACATATATTGCCTACACGCCTAAGATATAGAAAGTATTATGGAGTATTTGAGTCAACAAAGGTACCACAACACCCAAGCCCGAGACAATTTAAAAAAGTAAATTTTCTACATTGATCCTTTCTACTTTTGATCAAATAGAAACCTCTCATCTATGGAAATAATAAAAAATATGATTTCATTTATAAGATTAGAAACTTACCTTAGCCTAGCAAATTCACTCAATGCAGCTTCCACACTGCAGTCCAGCTGTTCCACCATATAACAAACTAACAAGAATCCAGTTCTATTAAAGCCATGTGTGCAATGGACACCTATCACTTCCAAAGGATTTTTACTTAGAAATCTACTTACAAGCTCAATAAACAACCTGAAATTCATACCAATTGCTATTTGTAATTATATATTTTTATTTGTATTTAAATCTGCTATCATTCTGAACATATTTATAGTTAATTTTACTAAAGAATTTCAGCCAATCAATTATTTTTAAAAGTGTAAGTGTGTGACAAAATCATGTGCAGAAAATGAATTAGCTCTAAATAATATCAAAAATAAAAAAGTAATATAAATTTTTCAGACTTATTATTTTGGAATATTTGTATGTTTATGGCATTATAATAAAAGATATATTACTTAATTTGGTCAGGAGACGGTGTTTCCCCATGCCCACGACATTGTAATTTCACATATTTACAATCCATATTCTCAATTTCTTGTTTGTTGTAAAATCTATTGGTGTTTGTTAGGTCCACCCATAATCCGAGTTTTACCTAATGGGCAAAGACAAAATTCTTATGTAGGCTATTACAATTTTCAACACTGATAGATAGATATTGTAAAAAGGATATCAAAAACATGTCTTCTATTTTTTTTTTGGTTTCAAATACTTATTTGCAAAATAATTTAAACTACTTAGGTTTTGACTATTATTATTAGAATTATACGTTTAAAGTACTCCCAAGAGATACATCTGTAGATAAGTAGGTACTAATATTCATTAATTTTCTGAATAATTACAATATTTATTGACACCTAGAACAGCTAAACAAAATACGTACTTTCAAGGCTTTCATATATACAAATAGCATCGAAGGTGTGAAACGGTTTTCCTCTGGCACTTTATCATTAAATTGTGATCCCAAAGGAGTTTTGAAAGCTAGAAATTTTCCAGCTACAAGTCCGGTGGCTTTTCGTGGGCATTTCAGCCACCGACTGGGGACGGGTCCCGAATCCCTGTGCGACATATTGTCTGGTAGTTGCTTACGCGATGGTTTTTTATAAAAGTCTTAATTTAAAATTTCATTAAAATGCACCTCTAACTTTCTTTACTACAAAAAAAAAATAGAAAAGAAAAGAGAACGGAATCAAAGCACCACACACACAGGCCAAACATGAATGAGCTAGGGGTGCTCGATATTCATAGGAAATGTCGATGTTTATAAATAATACCCGTCAACATAGGAACAATAAAAACTTGTTACTATGTTATTATTAGAAATTTCGGGGTTTTTGTTTAGTTGCGCTTGATCTTTTCTGCCAACCCCGAAACGATCTGGGGAGCAATTGATTATTAATTTTATCAATGAATATATATATTTACACGTATTATTTTTGTTCTTGCTTTATTATTTTTATATTTAACTTGTTTTGGCTGGTGTGATTTTCTGAATTAAGTATCGTATGTTCAATATAATTAAAAAAATTTATTTATACAGACAAATCTATATGAAAAAGTTAAATAAATAAAATACAGTTGAAACTCTTCTGTTTGGACTAATTGTTGTCCTTAGGCGCTCGAACAATTAAAATCTAGACAATCAATCGTAACACAAGATTTTTTTTTTGTAATATAATTATATATGTTTGCTATCAATCTATTTAAAAAATATTTATTATTTTTTCACAGTCACTCGACTACCAAATTGCCCAAAAAAAAACAACATGGGCATTAAAATACTTTCAGCATGTGTAGAACGACAAACTCGAGAAACGCTTTGTCTACATCCAAATGTCAATTTTCTCGGAAGCACCCTTAAGATTTCTCGCTGTCTGCCCGAGAAAAGTGATATTTAGTGTAGAATAAGTGTTTCTCGAGTTCGTCAAGCTGTATATGCTGATCGATAGTGAATTTATTACTATTGTAACAACACTATAAAAATACAGGACACAGACCAAAGAGAGAAATAAGGAACTGCCAGACCAATAGACCAAAACCACAGACAAATAAAAGACAAGTTTACCGTGAGTTTACGTGGACCATAGACAATAAAAAAAATTGATAAAAAATTAAAAGAGTTTTAGTTTGATTTTCATCGTATAGTTTTGTCGACTCTAGTAAACAATCTTCTATAATATGAAATTATTTAACATGAATTAACTAATAATATTTTAGCAATTGTTTGATTTAATATAGGCAACATAATTTTAGTTTTACGAATGTATTTAAAATGCCTAATATATTTATATTTCTTAAATCAACATTATTGTTGATATTTAAAAAATTCACCAGTTCCAGATACACTAAGATGGGATTCGATAAAATTCGGTTGAAAACTTTTGCAGTGCGTTTTTGCTTTTAACAAAGCACCCTACATTTATTTATTCTACCCATATTTGTTTCTTTGTAAAAATAAACTTATATAAAGAATTAAGTAAATAAAAATAGAAGAAGAAATACTATTCAATTATAATTATGTTTAAGTACCTACAGTAGGTACTTCAACAGATTTTTTTTATAATATGATTGGTAATGTATATCAAACATGTAACATGCAATTAAAACATAACTACATTAAAACATGCAATACTCTCAAATGCTTAACCAAATATTAGCATACGATTATGTGCTAATAAATAGTATTTGATTAAATCAGTATACGAATATTGTATTCAGTTTTAAAAAGTTTTTTTTTATATTTCGCCATTTATTAATAAGTCAATTTATAACGAATGAAAAAAATCGTTCGTAGTGTAAAAATTAAAGTGTAATCAAGTTATCGATTATTATATACATTACAAGTAGAACATCCTTAACAGCTTCATGTACGACATGACAGTAAAGATGTCTGCGATTTATTGTAAAATATTCATGCCTGTTCATATTGGGGCCATTTTCGACGATGTCCTTTACTTGAATTTGCACGAATTTATTTATTTTTATTTAAAGATTAGCAAATTCACTCAAAAATATTTTACATTTTATTGCTAACGCATATAAAGCTATATTTACGTGTTCGTAGATGGATGTGTACATATGCATACGTATGGCATAAAGCTATTTTTATTTATTTATTGTATTATATTTATTGTATTGTATATTATAATGATACCTTTTGAAAAATATAATATTTGTTCTCTGCTACCCTTGGTGTGCTGTGGGTTTTAGGCACGCGCCCCCTCGTATGCGGTAAGATCTAATATATAGCTCTAGTGGTGATAAGGACTGTAAATTAAGAGTAATAGATGTATAATTAAATGTAATAATAATAAATCACAAATCACGACAAATAAATACAAATAAATCGACAAATAAATCCGACCTGAGCAAAAACAAAGAGTAAAAAAAAGGACAAAATAAAAATATGACATAAACTAATCAAAGTCGCCTACATTTTGAATGAAAAGTATCGATTCTTACTAGTATCAAATGCATATTTGTTGGCAGTAACCTCTGTAGACAGATCTCTAACTACATAAAATTAGTAATAGAGGCTAGCAATGCTTTGTCATATGATAGGGACGCCACGCTTTTGGGATTTTTTTCATGAGACTAACTTAAGACACCTTCCCAAAAAAAAGACAGTCATACACATGAGAGTTTTTTGATTTTTTCTCAGCGAGTGACTGACCAAGCACCGATACAAATACTTACTTTACGATACTACTTCTTACTCGGTGCTAAACTAAAGTATCAAGTAAGTACTTGTATTGTTTAATTCCTAGGTATTATGTTCCTTGGTTGTCGTAGTGTATGGTGCTGTATTTGAGTATTGTTTTAGTATGCGAGGCGTTATCTAGTTGTATAGTTGGTCTAGGGCAAAAACTGACTTAGGAGCTGGACAAGAGAGTAATTTAAAATAGAAAACTAATATAAATAAGGAACTTAGAAAAGAAACACGAAGAGTCAAAATTAGGCGGTATAATTTTAATTAAAAACGCATTTTGTTTTTATTTCATTTTCTCTATGGAATATGTACTTATGTAGTTTTTAATTGTCTATTTTTATTTTTAGCACATTTGGCTGTTGACAGTATCAACAACCAATAAATAAAAATCATAGCTTACTATTTCTGTCACTTTTATACATAAAGAATGAGATAGACTTTTAAGGTTTCCTCATGTTGGTTCAACTGATTTTCGTATTTGCCAAGAGCCTGCCATTTTGTAACACAGAAGGGAGATAAAAAATAGTTTTATGGTCTTAAAATTCTACAAAAACTCAGTTGCCATTTGTGTTAGGGCCCAAAACAAATGTTTAAATGGACGCATCGTCCATTATAACTCAGGTGTCACGGGATGACGAACAATTAAATAATTATGGCTCCGACAGAGGTAAATCAAAAACGAATTACACCTGTTACCTATTGGCATCAAATTAGAGCGTATAGTGTTACCTCCTCACGATTCGTAAATATTTGTTGTTGGTGATCTGTTTTGAAAGTTGTGCAGTGTTATTTGTAAGTTATTACATTTAATGTATCTGCGTTTCAAGCGGGGCTTAAAGTAAACAGTTGGAACGTATGAACGCGATAACATTCTTAGGGACAACCTTGAAAGCTTGTCTTTCCTTACATCAAACCTACATAGTGTTCATTCGACTTGACGCGTGTAAAAAGAGTTGAAATTAAATGGTAAATTATCGTTTTAGGACCATCCCCTGGCAGTCAAAATAATGATGGGGATGGAACGCCTGTTTCTGGGTCTACCCCTTTGGGAAGTAAAAAATCCAGTGGTGGTGGTGGCTTCCTTCGATCATTACTATGTTGCTGGCGGGGCGGTCGAGGAAAAGGTCCTCCTGGAGGAAATGGGACGAACAGCATCGACGGCAGGGCCTCCCCTCCTCTCCTGGTCATGGCAGACCATGCCCCCAGGCCCTTATTGCCACCAGTAAGACATCAGGATATGCATAAAAAGTGTATGGTTATTGATCTTGACGAGACTTTAGTACACAGCTCTTTTAAGGTAAGTTATTAAATATTACCTATTTTTATTTACTATCACTATTAGAATACATTTATAACAACGGCCTATTAGTTTGTTTATGACACAATAACAAAATGTTTTTAATGTTATTATCATAAATAATGAGTCATCTTACTTATGAAGATTTTTATAGTCGTATCATTTACAAGACTATAACATTTATGTCCAGGTATAATAACTATCATAATCGTCATCAGTTAGTTTTTTTGTTATAGATATTGTGAATCACAATTTTTTTAATTAAATTGAATGTGTGAATTATACCTTTGACACACATTTCTAGATTATGAGAGACCTAATTTTTATTTTATTAGCAAAAAGAACTTCTAATAAGCAATTTGAGTTTTTCTGACTGAATCATTAATTTCTATATAAATTTTGTAAGTTTCTATAAAGGAAAATGTGCTCATTAGTAAAGTCATTAAAATTTATAAGTTATAAAACAATGCTGTTATTTGTTTATTTTCCTTATTCATAATATCACTTCTTAGTAATGATTATGAATTAAACTTCTTATTTATAAATCTTATTGGTAAAATTGATTCTTTTTTTAATGTTTTAACCATTGCCTAAATTTAGTTTTAAATCTGAAAATAATTAATAGATTATATTAAAACTTGATTGTTAGGTATATTGGAACTATTGAATAAATAATGTATTAAAATTGTATATTTAAATATTAAATTACAGTTGGTATTTTTTTCTAATATGCATGTCTCATGTGATTATAATAATTAATGAATAATTGTTGACTTTTTATATATGAGATGATTATCCATTGAATAGAAGCAATTTGTTTTTTACATTGAATTTCAGATGCTATTAAATACAGACCTGGGCAAAAGTAACTGCATCTTATTAGTTAATTGATCATAATAACATATTATGGTTAGTAGAGGAAATGTTTCTTCTATGTTGAAAGTTGCATTATAAATCTTATTGGACAAGTTTTGCATTTACACTAGTATTAGGAGTTGTATAGGCATATTTACATATTTCAAGTGATAATAGTATGGTTGTTTCTGTATTATTTTTATGATTAAAACATTAATGAAATTAATATACCTATGTATATGCAAGGTATAAAATAAAAATTATATGGAATAAGTCACATTGGATCTGCAATTTTAAAATTGCATCCAATTTGAATTTTACTACTGTGTTTGTATTTCATTAGCTAATTGATTTAACAATCCTTAGGTATATAGATATTTAATGAATGAACTCAGTCCTTCACTGTAATAATTATTAGTAGTGAATTGAATGTAAACAACCACACATTATATGATTAGTATCAATTGGAACTGGTATATTTTATTGTGCTATCAGTGCTACATATACATAATCATATTATCAGTATTGTGATACCATTGCTATCTTGATAACCTTCAGAGTTGCATTTGATTGTCACTAAGAGGACTCAAAATTAGGGTTGCCATATGGTCCAATATAACAACATTGTCACCGCTATTAAGTTTTATGTCCCGAATTGCTTCTTGAGATTGTGGAGTCAATTTTACAGTGTTACATAAACTTTAATATGACCTGCCCAGAATCCTACCGTTCTGTGTAAAAGCACCTAGAATTTCTAAAAAAGACAATACCTCTGAAGAGTATGCTCAAAATACTTATTAAAAGAAAAGACTAACATACTTTCTCAAAATTGTGAAGGTATTTCTTCTCTTCATGAACCTCTGTGCCCCTAGAACATCTCGACGAGACCCTATCTAAATATGACAACCCTACTCGCAATGCTCTCTTCTAGTTGATATTTACAACTGGAACAAACAGAATTCAATGTTTAAGAGTTTATTGTTTTAGATTGAAATAATATTGCTTTATTCCATAAATAAATTTGTGATCACAGTTAAAAAATACATAGGTAGGTGGCATATATACTCAAAGTGTGCTTACAGGACCACATTCAATCCCGTTTTTTTTTGTGTATAAACTTGTCACAGACTTCCATTTGTTGGCCCTGTGTGTTGGACTATAATAGCTAGAGGTTTGAAATCTCCATATTTGTTGTTTTGGTTGTGCTAACTTATTTGTCATGATTTTGAAATGTAATAGAAATCGATTAGTAAAAGTAGATGAGATTGAGAAATTTAACTATATCTCGATGGCATTAAGATTCAATTTTGCTCCCTCTACATAGCACTACTATAATTAAAAATCATGTGTCAAATTAATTGGCGCCATTTAGAATGAATAAAAAAATTGCCATTTAATTTATAGAAAAATATTGCTTTTGTGCAGTCAAACAAAAAAGAAATGAGAATTAGATTAGTAGCAGGGGCAGTAAGTTGAATCAATAAAATTCAGTATTTTTCCAAACCCTATAATTGTTTTCAATCTGTCTTTGCTATGTGCGAATATATTTTCGATGTTTTTTAGACGCCTAGTGATATTTGAGGGCTGCTTTTATTTGATGTTGAATTGTTGGTTATCTACGTATATTTTGGAGCAGTATACTGATGTTAAGTACATATACGTTTTCAATAAACCAGTATTTATTATAGAAATTATTAACACAGGGGTCGGAAACCTGTGGCTCGTGAACCGTATGCGGCTGTTTCGATAGCGGCTCTCAAGTTCCGTTTGCATTTAATAATTATTTTGCTGTCAAAACCCTTTAAAGCGTATATAATTCGATTCATAGTTGAGTATCCATTCTATAATATGATTTATATAATTCGGTAGACTGACTATAACTGAGAGATAGATATTCTAAGTAAAATGTCAAATATAAAATTAATAATATTGTAAAGAACTCTTACAATAACTATTTGAAAACTGGGAATTTATGTAAATTACAGCAGCTATGGTTATAGATCCCTGTGCTAACGTAAATACAGGTACTAAACAAATAGTGTCTATAATTGAACCAGTCGTTTCGGTGAAGAACATTTGGGTTTGGTTTATATTTTAATAAACAATATAGTCTTCTATTGATATATTAACTTCATGCTAAATGTGGACGCATTTCCGGTTTGGAAGACTTGTTCTTTTTAACTTTTCAGTATGGGAATTAGAGCGTGCAGAAGCCGAGCGAGAGCTACTTCAGCTCAAAGGGCTTCTCATTTTACATAATGGTCACAAGAAATATCCGAATAATGCGTAATACAAAGTTAAAGCCCATTTTAGATTTTCTAATGCAAACAGATATGATTACGATAAATGTTTGCCTTGGTTAAATCGAAAAGATAGTAAAATGTCGCCTCCTATGAGGTTTCGGATTCATTATTGAATATGAACTTTTCTATTTTGTTTTGTATAAAATTTATTTGTTTATAATTCTGTTGCTCTAACTAGATTCAATTAAGTTTTAATCCTGCAAAACTGTATTTTCCATTATACAAATAACTGATGTAACAGAAGTGAACATATTACACTTTAAAGGAGTATAATAGTTCGATTTGCATGTGACTACGGAATAAAGTTAAAACAAATAATATTATTATTGAATTTAGTTTAAGGAGTAGTATAACAGAATCGGAACCGTTGTCAAATATGGCGGCATATGCTCTATGATTTAGGTTCATCCAAATTTTACGTAAATACAAAGTCTTCTCTTAAAACTACCTATATAAAAATTTGTTCTTTATCATGACTCCTTTCTGCTATTATTATTTTTTTCTTGAAAGAAAACCTAGTCTCTTATTATTTGTGGTTGGAACAGTCTATTCTCTCTATTAGGGGTCATCCATAAATTACGTCACACGATTTTCATGATCTTTTTGTCCCTCCCCCCGTCCTAGTCACAGCTGGTCACATTTGTAAGACTTCCCCCTCCTAGTGTGACGTCACATATTTTGCAAAGTTTTTGTAAGTAATAGTTTAAAGTTCGTGTTTTAACATTTAGATTATAATAGATTTTGAAATGTGACGTCACGAAATTTAGGACCCTCCCACCCCCTTGTCACAAAATGTCACACTTCGTCGACTCCCTCCCTCCCCCTTAACGTGTGACGTAATTTATGGATGGCCCCTTACTCTCCCCACAATTCATTACGATTGCGTTTATCTTGTTCTTCACACAACGTATTCATCTTTTATAGTTATCTTTATGTTTCTTTCTTAAAATTACTTAAACGATACTTTAATTTTTGAAATATTCATAGAAGATAAAATATTGTATGTAATCTTAATTAGTGACCACATTCACTTTTTTGCATTAGTAAGTTAGAATGATACCAGTTTAAAACAGTAGTTACCACATGATGTTTTATAAAAAGATTGTTGAAAGAGACAGTAGCCCATTGGCTATACTCATTCGTTTTTGTTTATGTAGTCGGCATGCAAATGAGTAGGTAATGGATATCCAAGTCCCAAACTTTCAACATAATAATATTAGAACAAAACTGATCTTTGACATATTTTTTGACAGTTGGCATGGCCCATAGTCAATTTATATTGTTTAAATATAACAAGTATCAAATAACCTTCATGTGCATATTAATAAAGTTATCCTACCAAGTGTAATTTAACAGTAACTTGCCCGATCGCCTTCCCTTCATTGAAGCCCTTCGAATGCCGCGCTATCTGCTTGCTTCGCTTGCTAACCGCTAAAAATATCATACCAACCCTGATACGAGTTATGATAGCGGTTAGCCGATATTTCCTGGCTTTCCTTGCGTATGCAGTAATAAATACCGAACTGGGACGGGAATATAAACAATACGTTTAAATAATAGATAATGCTTTCCGTTCGTTTATAAGCTTTACAACTTAACAGTGCGTGTATAACGTGAACTTTTGATTGTAAAATTTTTAGCTTGCATTGATTTGTAGTTGGAAAATGAATAAGAAGGATTTTAAGTGTTTCACATAATATGTTAAATAATTACAGATATTTCTGGTCAGTTGGCACACACCACTTTCTCTTTCAAATGTCTTAAAGATTATAACGACGCTTTTATCTAGCGCTGTTTGCTTTTAACTAATGTTGTCGTGATCCATTTTAGCATAGCTTTCCGACAGCGGCTCCGTCCGCGTGGTCCTGAATGAATTGTAGAATCGAATCTTTCTTTTGGATTACTCCGTATATTAATGAATACCGCATTAAAATCAGTTGTGTAATTAAAAAGAATTTTACTGTGTCTCAGCCTAGACAGCAGGAAGCGACTTTGTTTTATACTATGTATATCCCTTTCGTCCGTTTCTATAACAATATTTAAAAAAAAATCTTTAAATTTGTATAGTCGAGGCCTTTGTGACACCGCATTCATCATTTCGTAATTATTTAAATATTAAAAAAGACTGGAATCTCCAAACTTCTTTGAAGTGACTTGTGACATCCATTAACATTTTCAACCGTTCCTTTTCACTTATTTTACAGATTAATATCTTGTGCAAATGTAAAATCATTTTTTTCTCGTTTAGTTAGCGAGCCGCCTCATGCGTTTTCATTTATAACGTGGTGTACGTTGTATTTTACAAAGGTGAAAGGTTATTTTTAATTTAGATTGAACTCTGACACGCACGCAAATAGATTTATGCCGGTGTTGCCGGTATACGCTTTTTCTCGGAGTTTTGTTTTAAACAGGAAGATATAAGTAACCATACTTTACAGTGTTATGTGAATCATTGTATTTTTCTTTTTAAAATAATAAATTTATTTCAGTTAAATACTACTTTACGATTTTAATGCATAATAATACCGTAAAGAATGTCACGAAGGACTTATGAAACATTAGCGTGATCTAATTCATTATAAAACAAAGACGTCCCTGGTCGCGGAACACCTTTAATGGCATTCTTCAGTTATAACGTTAATTGCTATAACGTTTTCTGCATACAATGTCACATGATTGGCCATGCAACAGAGCCGTATGTTAAAACATGCTATTGTATGATCATTTTGGATAGTTACCTTCGTGTCAAGGTTCCAACCTTGGCTTGTTTGGTTGATATGTCGATACGACAGGAATCAATAGGTCGATATTTTATATTGACGTTAGACTAACCATTAAGTAGACACCTGTCATTTGCCTTTAAATAAATTACATTAATGATCAGAGGCGTTTAAATTGATTAAATTAATAAACTGTTAAGGGAGTTCTACCGCGTAACTTCTTTGCTATGAATTTTAGGTTGTTAATGAAGTTTGAAAGCCTTTTTTAAATTGTACGCAACGCGATTAGGTAAGTTCATAATTCAAGCGCAATCAATTCCATGCGCACCAATTTTACGATGTAGCTCTAGTATTAAATTTAAATTCAATGACAGTTGTATGAAATTTCATCAGTTACGTGGTGGACTCGCAGAGAAGTCCGTCCACAGTCGCGATTCGTCGGGTGGCATCGCATTTTAAAAGTGGCTTATTTCTATTCACGCAATCCTCTTTCACACTTGCATAAACTGAAGAATTGACAATTTTATGTATTATTATGTATAATGCATTTAGGTTTTGATATGTGCAATATTTGTTTATAAAGTCTGTTATTTTTAATAATTTATACACAGTACAGTGCCAGTTATTTTCTGTTCTGATTCTGGATCTTCTGCTTAATTACAAATTTTTTGGCTTACTTGGCAAAGAATCTGAAAAATATATAAAGCCTCTATCGGATAACCTTAGAACCTTGTAGTTTAAAATATATATAAACGGGTATGAGACCGAGTGAGTAAACGAAAATATTTTGAAATAAAATTCAGTGCGACCAAATAAAGTTTTTTTTTTCAACTAATTTCACACATAAGACCTAAGTTTTAGAGTAGCATAATATGTACGTTTTTATTCAATAATAAAATTTACTATCGGAATTGAAATTAGACCCCTCTACTTCTGATAGTTCTTTGCTTATTACTACACTAAAAAGTATCCCACTACTGCCTTCCTTATTCGTTTTCTTTTAACTCCTACACATAACTTGTAAAATGTTAAATTATACCGTATCTTTCTTGCAGCCTATAAACAACGCCGACTTCGTGGTCCCTGTGGAGATTGACGGCGCTGTGCACCAGGTTTATGTTCTGAAGAGGCCGCACGTGGACGAGTTCCTGCGACGTTGCGGCGAGCTTTACGAGTGCGTGCTGTTCACTGCTTCGCTCGCCAAGTACGCGGACCCTGTGGCCGACCTTCTAGACAGGTAATGTACTATATAATAGGGCCCTAACGTGTCCTCTATGCTCACGGACGTTTTTAAATAAGATGGGCTATATTAGCCATCTACGCCAACCGGATTAGGAGTCAAAGCAGTTGCCATGGTCGAAATCTGCCGGAAGCATCATGATTATAATAGGGCTTTAGGTAGACGGCATTGATGTAGATTTTTAGTTCCGTCCCTTCAATTTCTAAAAAATGACCTGTAAAGGGATTAAAAAAAATACTGGCAAAAACAGCCGGGGTTAAATCAGTTAAAAACAGAAACAGAATTTTCAACAACTGGCTCAAAAAAAAATGCGAGGATGACTCTAAACAGGTTTTTGGATCGATTTTGCAACTAATATATATCATCTTAACTATATAAAAAAATATTTAAAAATAGGTTTTGATATTATTAAACCATCGATCATATTTATTATAATAATATGATAATAAAAATCATTATTGGCTATATAAAGGACAAAACTGATAGAACGAATATAATCTTAAGTAAAATGTATTTGTTTTTTTCTTTGATCAAAAATGTATGAAATCAAGCGCGCGTCTACTCTCGATGCGTATCTGTATGGGAACGTAAGCGGAGGCACAAGATGTCCTTAACGTTCACGTGGACGTTTGTTTGTTCACAGATGGGGCGTGTTCCGGGCGCGGTTGTTCCGCGACAGTTGCGTGTTCCACCGCGGCAACTACGTGAAGGACCTCAACAGTCTCGGGCGGGACTTGCGTCGCGTCATCATCGTTGACAATTCGCCCGCTTCATACATATTCCATCCAGACAACGCTGTAAGTGTCATATACGTACTTGATAAATTAATACATTTACAGCTAGTTGCACAAACGTCCATTAAAATTGTCATTAGTTTAAAGCGACATTACCCATTTAAATTTGACATTTATTAAAGCTTAAAGGCGTCATTAAACCTTAATGGTCATTTGTGCAACTAACTGTTAATGTACCTGCGTCAACAATATCAGCGTCCAAGGGTGCGAACACCTAATTTTCTAGCCATGAAACTAGCCATAGGACATCAATATTTTGTTTCATTTTACTAATATAATAAACTTTATTTGCATTTCCACCAAGACATTCTCATTTATAACTGTTTAAGATTAAAATAAACTAAAACAAACAAAACAAATAAACATAAATAAGATGAAAAACAAGAAATATATCGGGTTGCGTGCTGCAGCAATGCAAAAGGGTCAAGGCTCAGGATACGATTTGCCTACAAGGAGGAAAATCCCTGATATTCTGCCATTATCCTAAGGAGCATGAGACGTCAAACCGCCGTATATTAAAATTAAATTAAAATTAATTTCGCATTAGAAACAATAAATAAAAGAATATATAAATATACAGTACCGTAATAACAAAAATGTAAGTATATTAATATACACCTCTCTTATATTTTATAACAAGAAATAAATAAAAAGCCACGATATTTGAAAATGAAATGGATTTGACTACTACTTTTACATTATTTGACTATTACTTTAATAGCAAAAAAACGAATCACAAAGAACGGTGGATATGGATTGAAATCAGTGTAAATGCGTGCATAATAAAATTACTTACTTTTATCCACCAAAAGACCAACAAAAATTTCAAAGCAGTAACATAAAACGAAATATCGTCACAACATCGCTAGGATGTCGTATCCTATAGCTAGTATCGAGGCTAGAGAGTTAGGTGGTCGCACCCTAGTGCTGGACAAAGGCCTCGCCCAAAAATATCCCAGACGACGAAATCTCTCAGTGACGCGGTCCTCCTCCAATGCTTGGAATGTTTTTTTTTTCAAAGCGCGGTAAATCACAATGATTGTCTCCCACTGTGCTATATGCTATGTGTTTTACACCTTATGCTTATTGAAATAAAACTGATTGTAAATCTTAATTTTACTTTCGATCACCGAAATTGGTTTGGCGGTCAAGCGTGAGCGTTCTTACAATTTGGGAGCTGAGTTACTTAATACATTTTGGCCTACCAGTTTCCGTCTCCTTTTGAACTCTAGAGCATGTACTCCGTGTTCCTATTAGTTGATCCTGTATAACAAGACGCTTTTACCTTCAGGTGCCAGTTGCATCATGGTTCGACGACATGACAGACTCGGAATTGTTAGACTTGATACCGTTTTTCGAGAAACTAAGCAAGGTGGACAGTGTGTATACAGTGTTACGCAACTGTAACCATCCGTATCACCCCGCTCAGGGCTCGCCCACATAGCCGCACGCCCCGAGGGTCACGCCCAACTTATCGTACTTCGTCATAAGTGCCAATTTTGCCTTCTCGATAGTGAGGACTTTACTCATACCTATTATACGATTTAGGTATTTCTTAGTGCGTAAGAGGTCCGTATGATTTTGGTGATGTCTCCCAGGCCCGGATCTAGGGGGTGGGGAAGGGCACTCACAAATCTTTGTATACATATAAAGGCTCATAATCCCGGCCTCATGGAGCGTGTGGGGGAGGGGTAAAGTAAGGGCGCTATACGAAGATTTTGTCCTGGTTAAAAAAATAGTAGATCCGGGCCTCCTTTTTCTCTATACGTTTATTGCTTCCCCGGTTCGCTTGCGGTGTCCGCTTGATTGCGGGCGAAATGTTCGGTTTTATAACGTACATTTTATTGTATAATTTGACGGTTTTTTTGAGCGCTTTTTGATTGTTTAGATACTGTCACTGTCACTTAATAAAATCGATAATTGAAACTAATGAATTTGATCTTAAAGCGCTTAATAGAATTGACAGATTATAAATGTCACTTTATATCATGCTTGGGAACAAATATGAATAAGTTAGGGTACATAGTCGACTCGTTCGTCCGTTTGTGATGAATGTTGTTCGTTAGACTTTCCAGTGTTGAGCCGCAAGTGTTTAGGACTCTGTCCGCTTCCGCCGTGCCCCAGTTACTAAACAGTTATCGAGTTTATAAATAAATCGATCGATTTGTGTAACATTCGAGAAATATTCGACTGGTATTTTAAAGTACGAGTGGAGTTTTCCAGCTCTATATTATGTAAATATTTTATTTTGTTTTTTTTTTTTTTATATTTCGAAAGTGCGACGCTTGAATCGTCTAGGAATTTGACTAATGTGAATATATACGTTGTACATAAAATATTATGTATTATAAAAATGGTGTAAAATCATGATGGAATCTAGAAGGTAAGGTTTTTAGAATCGCGCACTATGAGCTAACGATGACGTAGCATTGTTTCAAAATAAATGCATACTTTATTTGCAGTTAAAGCTTAAATATTAAGTAAGTTTTAATATGTTGATCAGTTCTTTTTTAAATATTTATCATTTGAACTTGAACGTCATGCAGCGCCCTTAAAAATTTAAAAGCATACGATTTTTTTTTTATCAACGAAAATGTTTCACAGTGATATTGTTTCACGCTTATAGCGCAATATTATGAGCGTATCCATCTATGGACTCTGTTTATTTATCGTTAAAAGGTTTATTTGTTTATATAACTTTTCGTCGAATGCCACTAATTTTATTTATTTATCGATAAGACATGCGGAGTGTGGCAGTTACTGTGGTACAATGAAATAAATAAATAAATAATGTTAACCGATGACCGACCAATGAAAATGAGTTATGAGTTAGGTAAATTATCACAATAGATTAGGCATTTTAAAACTAATTATTTATTACTAAGGGAACTTTTCTTTGATAAAAAAACGTATATCAGCGCCATCTATTAACGCTGAAAAATAACCTAGCCGTGACATATCTTAATCTGAAGTTTTTCATTATTAAAAATGATATTTAAAAGGTCAACGTAAAAGCTGACAGTATATTTTGAAACAGTGTTACTTTTAAGGTTTGTACACATTAGATAATATGTATCTTGTATAAAAATCTAGTGTACAGAGATTGAGTACCATACATATTTTCCTTTATCCATTGCATATTGGTGACAATAAACAAGTCAATCGCGTAAGTGTCATATGATTTTTTACTGATGTAATAAATTTTAAATATATGTTTTAATTATAACAAAACACGGGTGAATGTAGTATCCGAACAACTTGGCATCTAGTGTATAATGTGATTATTGCGTGGAAGAATGCTGGTATACTATCTACTCCGGATTAAAAGTCAATATTGATCCTTATTAAAAAGGAACAGGGTTGTATTATTCGATGACGAACAATAAAACTTATAACCTTTCAATATTAAATAGGATACAATTAATATTTGACGTGAATAAATCATGTTAAAGTTTCTTTAATTATATAAAAATAAAGAAGACTGAAATGTCTCCACTATGATGCGTTTTAGTAGAAATATCTAATAAATAAAAAAATCCCCAAAGTCCAAATGAAAAAGATTAAAGAGTTCCTAAAAATAATATCAGTTTTCTTCTATCACAATACAATATAACTTCCGCATATAACTTATGATTAATCATCTCAGTATTAAATTAGTTTTGTAGTATTCGATGCCATTCTACACGGGATTGTAATTAGATGACGTAATTCTAAAATATTTTATTATACAACTTTTGTGACGTCATGTCCTATTCGGGGCCGACTACAGTTAGGCGATGGCAACATTAAATTCAACTTTGAACTTAACTTATTAGTGATAAGTTATAATTTTAAACTTTCGCCTTTCTGCGGTCGACCGTGTAAGCATACAAAATTCAAAATTTACACCTAATGAATTAAGTGATAATTGATTAATTAGGTAAAATACAAAATGGTGCTTTCAGTATTAGTCGTTTAAGCAACTCGGAAATGACTGTATGTAACTAAATAGCACTTTAAAACGCACATTGGCGACTAATTGATATCTATGAGTGAATATATTGCAAACCGTTACGTGGCGAAACAAATCTGGGAAAATATTTTACCTTGCCTGAGGTGATGCCATCTATTTATTGTTTTGATTGCTTAGCAAAATGATTTTTATTGTTTTTTTTTTTTTAATTATTATTTTATATATAATATTTTTAGGCAATATCAAAATCTGTTATTGTTTTGGTATTACACTTGTAAATAAGATTTTTATTAATTTTTAATGAGACAAAGGAACTCTCCAATTGTATCTAATCCATATTCATTCGGCTTCGATTCATTATTTTTAATTGTACACTTGACAACACTTGAAATTACTATAAAAGGTGAGATTCCTCTAATCCATTGTGAGTCTTAATGTGTTGATAATTAAGTTCAGAATTGGTTACGGTAACTTTTGTAGTAACTTTATGTGCTGTATGTGTGCACATGTTAGTTTGTTATTTAGTGGCTACTCAGGTATGTATATGCCGTAATACGTATATTTTTATTAGTTATACGCGAACGCTAGTTCTGTCCTAGCTATTATATAAATAACGTTTCTCCACCGTCCAATATCATTATTCACGAACTCTTAATACTAGCTTCAACTAACCAAATATGTTTATGGAACAATCAGCCAGTTGCATAAACGTCCATTAAAATTATCATTAGTTTAAAGCGACATTACCCATACAAATTTGACATCCATTAGAGCTTAAAAGCGTCATTAAACCTTAATGGACGTTTGTGCAACTCACCGAATATTATTTAGAAGTGGCAATCAATTAAAGTTATTATCCAGTGAGAAATTATTGGTTATGATTTCAAGTGCTTGTGAACAAGAGGACAGTAATCCACGAGCTTACTTTTGCAGCTTATTAGATTGTTATCTAAGATTTCGTCTTGTTTTGGGCTATTGGGTTTATTTTTTTCTATTTATTATAAAGGCTACTTATTTGTCAGTTTTCGTTCGCGTAACTACTCATATTACTGAGAATAAATTAAATTTTGTTTGCCATAATTATTGTATATTTAGCAGCAAAAGTTTACAGATGGTGAAGTATAACAATGATGTTTCTAAGAAGGTACAGTAAGATAAAACTGATGTGGCTTAGTCCTAAATTGGTAGATCTGATCTACGTTAATGAATATTTGTCATAAACCATATGCCAATAAGTAAATTTAAAAAACTCTCCTGAAATCAGGCGGTCACGAAGACATAGACTATGTCTGGCTGGCTCTGCCGTTGGTCGGTAAAGCGACGATGGTAGATTACGTAATGAGAAGAATCTATGAGAAGAAAGCTTTATTAATTGTATTTGTTTAGATGTGGGTCGTTAAAATATTGTAATTATATCATTAACTGTTTGTAAACTTTTGTTGTTGTGGCAGAATTTTGTGACGCTTTAGAAGTGCAGTACATTCATATGCCATAAATATTTAAAAAATAAAAATCTTTATAAACTTCATTTTCATACAGTTTTCCGATATAAGCTAGCTAATTAGTGCACTAAGTTGCTTTAAAAATAGTTTTAAGTATAGTATATATCTTTTATCATCTAAATTACGGATAGCAAACGTTGTAAACAAAAAAATAACATTATTTTACGATGCAATCGCTAGTATTGAATGTGCTCAAAATATCTGTGGATACTATTTTGGAATTTTTTTATCCATATAGAGGGAAAGAGATTATACTATACTCAAAATTAGCTTCACTGAACAGGGCCTACAGTCTCGACAGAGTTTGCGATCGCAATCTTAACTTCTTCGGTCGCTAACTCATAGCGATCGTAATTTAACGATTATATCTAAATATCTACTACAGTTAAGTATACTACAGTCAAGTATATTGTCATTTGTTATGCATGCACCGTCAACTGTCAAAATCGCGATATTCTTTAATTTCCTAGCGATCAGATTTGACAGCTCGGTCATTGAACTCTTCGATCGCTACTTAACGATCGCTATCTATGTCGAGATTGTAAGTCCTCATATAAGGTAGGTCGCCCGTTATTTTTCTGTGGATTACTACCGCAGTTCACCTATAGACCACTGTAGACAGCATTTATTTGTAAGCATTAACACATAGTCTTAGTATGTTATAGTAATATATACGTTGATTTCTCTAGTTGTAAGTATTCTGTTGTTTAAATGACGTGTTTTTTTTTGTTTAAACAATTATTAAACTTAGGCTTACTTGGACATCTCCCCATGTGACTTTAGAGTTTTATCTACTTTTAAATATAAAATTTTGACTTTAAATCGTCCAACAGTGTTAATTAGGAAAAAGTAATATTTGTTAATTTTTCTATTTAAAATTAAATGCATGCAATAAATATTGGTTGATATTTGCTATTAATGTCGTATTATATTAATGAAGTGTAATAAAGTTGTTTTTTATGTCTAACATTAGAGTGATTTGGGTATAAGTTGACCTAGTATCATTATTTTCAAAATATTTTTGTACCGTAATTTAACATTGTTGTAAATAAATCTAATATTTGGTAACCACACTATTGTATATGCAATAATTATGAAATTATTATTTTGGATGAGATTTTAAGTGTATCGATGAGAATATTTTATAATTGCGGTGCTTTATGATTGATTAACAATTAAATGTTACAGCATTAAAGTTGAAATTGCAATAACACTGGTATTCGATGTTTGAATAATGCTGAGATACGTTACACTATTTGGACGTAATATTAATGGTCTTGTTTTTATGAATTAACTATGTAATCGAAGAACTGCTTATGTATTACTTTTGTATTATAAATGACTATTAGACATAAACTCGTATCTGTAGTCGAGAAAAGTAATTATTTGAGAAAATGTTATAACTTAAGCAACTATTGTTAACCAATAGGCGAGAATTTGAATGAATTAAGAATTGTTAATAGCTAATTATAATTAGTATTGTGACTATTTTTTATTAATAAAAATATTTCCTTAAAATATGACATATTCTCATGTAATTATTTCTCTCGATTATAGATATGAGTGTTAGTAGTGCAATCTGAATCTTATCACATAGGTTTTGATAAAATAATCATTTCTGTAGAATGCTATTTCATTTTATTGAGGGTAGATCCATGAGTGGTATTTTTGAATAAGTTAAGTTTTTGGTAAATTTGGCAGGAAGTATTGGACATTTGGTAGCCGCGAGGAAGCGGTGATCGAACATTCGTGCATGATTGGTACACTTTATTTTTGCGCAACTATCTTCCTTTATAATCAAGATTGATATTAAAGCGGTTGTCCGCTTGTCTTTTTTAAAAAAAAAACACTAACTGTTGACTAATATTGTGGTGATTCATTTTGCATCACTAACACCCGTATCTATGGTCGAGTAAAAGAAATTACTTAAGAAAATATTTTTAAACAAATAAACAAGAATTTGAACGAAGAAAGAACTGTTAATAGTAAGAATACTATTACATTCAAATTCTCGTCTATTGGTTAAAAATATCTGCTGAAGTTATGCCATTTTCTTATGTAATTACTTCTCTCGACGTGTAATAAGAGTGTAAGTCTAATTGTTTACGTTTTATGAGTCTCCTGTGCTCCTATTCCTTTTTTTTTGCTTGGAAAAACAAAGTACAAAATACAATAGAGAAGAAAGGTTTATATTAACTCGAACAAATGTTTGTTTTAATTCAATTACCGAGTTTTAATTGTAAAGTTTGTGCCTATGCTGTACTACATATCTTTAATTTCGACGCTACATGAATGTGTTAAGCGGATTTCTTGCCTGTAAATATAATGGTGAATACTCTTAATAGACAGTGCTTTAATAAAATACCCTTAGCCATAACCTAAGCCACTACTTTATGAAAAAATAAATCCCCAAACAGAAAGATTTTGTTCTACTTATATATCGATACGTTCTATGTGTAAGAGATGACGTGCAAAATCGTGACTTACTGAGAGGCTCATACCGTCTATTATTGAAGAAGGATTATCTTAAGTAGGTTTAAAACATCATTCGATCAAAATAAGTCAACTCGTCTCAATTTGACGTTTTCTCTTCTGTCATTGTCAGTTTGCTTTAGGTGGCTTATGGTTTAAACCAAGTATTAACTTCAGTTAGTCCTCGTTTAATAATAATACTGTACATGTTTTAAAGTAGTGTAATTTTTATCTTAACGCTTTAAATTTTAATGCATGTCATTTATTATATTAAAAACGATCATTGACCATCAACAAAAACTTAAAATGATCAAAATGCTGTATAGGCCTATACATAGGACCCATCGATGTAGAAAAAAGAATGTTGATAAATTGTCTTTTTTTTTAATGAAAAATAAACTTATACATGACAGTGCCTCTATGCATTAGGGCATAATTAATAGTTGAATACTTTTTGAATAATGAAATTCCGAATATTCAGTGTAGTCTTTAAGACTCTTAAGAATTATATGTGCAATATTTGTTTGATCTTCAAATTTATTCTGTATGTGTTTTTACCGTTCAATTTCAAATAAACAAGGAATTTTAACATTAAGAACTCCGGTTATTGTAGATATATTGT